GATTGATTTGAATTTCTCTAAAATTAGTTAAGATTTTTTTAATTTTGATGTATTTATTGAATTATTTCATTAATTTAATTAAGGGGCTTTTTATTGATTTGAATCCAAATAAAATCCAAACATTTTAAAATAACCTCCAAAGATCATAAATTATCTATGGAGGGATTATCAAGATTTTGATAATTTTTAATCATTTTTAATTAATTAAATTAATTAAATATTAATTTTAATTAAAGTTAAATTAAGCTTAAATATGGAATCAAATAAAAGGGCTCTTATTTTTCTTGTGTTAAGAGTTCAATTTTGGTTAATTGGAAGTATTATGTGTATTTTTTGGGTTTAAATTTGATTTTTTATACTTTTTGGAAATTTAAATACTAAATTAAGGGTTTAAACTTTAGTAAATTGATTAAGGGGCTTAATAAATTTTAAAACTAGTGAGAAATATTCTATAGGCTGAGAATGTCACTAAATTTATGTGTTCAAAATTTCAAGTCAAGAGAATGTGCATCCTAATTTCTAAATTTTTTTTAAATTTTCTAGATGTGTTTTTAATTATTGTCCTAAAGATGTCACTAATTTAAGTGGGTTTAAATCAATGTTCCACTAACCCTTGTACAAACATATAGACGCACAATCACACTCAACTCCTAAATCTATGAGAGCTTAAGCTAAGTACAGGTGTGTGCAACCTAAACATGCAAAAATCGAATATAAGACATATGATTAAAAATTAGATTAGTGAACAATCAAAATATGATTATTTACTACTCATCCACATGAACCCTATTCAAACATGCTCAATCTTTATTTAAAATTCCATAGGATCTCTTAATGCCCAAGGATTTAACATATACATATAATTTAAAATAATTATATAAAAACCTATATATATATAATATAAATTTTTAAAATTAAAAATTTAAAAAAAATCATCTAAATAATTAAAAATATTTTTGAGAGATCCTCTCATTCTTCAATTAATTTTAAAAATAAACTTTTTAAATAAAATTATTAATATAAATTTAATTAAATATTAAAACATTCAAAAAATTCAAATTATTAAAATAAATAAATTTTAAATTTTAAAAAAATAAATTAGAATATTTTAATTTACAATTTTTTATTTATTATTCAATTTTTTAAAATAAATTTAATTTTAATTTTTAAAATTTAGATTATTAATGTATATTTAATAGTTTTAAAAATAATTAATATTTGAAACTAGTTTTTAAATTAAATTAAATTAAATGTTAAATATTTTCTAAAATTTAAATTTATTTAAAATATTTTTTAAAATTTAAAGAATTATTTTAGTATAATTTTAATTATATAGTAAGGTCTAGATTTGAGTAGTAAATAATCAAATTTGATTTTAAAATTTGAATTGAATTGAGATCTAGATTGGCTTGAGGTTAGGATTGATTTGAAGTCTGGATTAATCTAAGATCTAAATTGACCTTAGGGACTAGAGTCTGAAAGAATCTTAGGATTTAGAATCTTGGAGGATTCTATAGTCTAAAAAGTCCCAAGGTCTGGGGCCTAGATAAATCCTAAGGTCTAGATTTGTTTGGGGGAATTCTAGGGTCTAGATAGATCCTAGATCTAGATTTTAGAAGGATCCTAGGGTTTAAGTAGATCTTAGGGTTTGGACAGACCTAGGGTCTAAATGGATATGGGATATAGATTGGTCCTAGTTACCTCATACAAAAATGAGGGTCAAACAGTCACCCCCCCCCCCCCCCCCCCCCCCCCCCCCCCCCCGGAGTGGGGAGGTGACTTTCGGCCACCCCCCGCCATTCCCAGCTTTCTCTCTCTAATGCTTTGCTGGTGAGAGAAATAAAAGGTGATAAATCACCAATAAATAACTCATATAAGAGAATATAATTTTAAAAAGGATCCTCACTAATATTAGTCCTAAGCAACTCACTACTGAGTAGCATAAAGGTAACATAATGTAATGATAAGGTTTTTATCTTATAAAATTTTTTTAGGATATAAAATATAGTTGATGGATGTTTCACTATGAAATTTTGATAATATAGAATATAGTTGATTTGACTATAATTATGTCAAATTTAGAGATCATTTAATCATCCAATTAATATTTGAAGTTTCTAATAATACTTCAAATGTTTGATTTGGGCTCATTTAGGCTAGAATTGGGCCACTTTTGGTACCATTTTGTTCGTCTCATTAATACATCCAACTCGACTATGAATTTGCTAAAATTAAAGTTCATATAATTTTTAATTTAATTTCATAATTTTTTTATTTCAAATTATCTCAAAATCCTTGTCAAATTGTGCGGATTTTTATTATATATACCCAAGGTGTAAAATATCAAAACCAGATTGATCTGTTTAATTGGTTGAATTATGAACCGATCGGCCGACCTATTTCGTTAACCCATATAACTGATTTCAAAGAAAATCAGGGAAAAAGAAGTCATCCTGCCAGTTGGACTAATTAACCGAAAAACTAGCACCAATACTTAAGAACTAGCCTGTTAAAAAATTCTACATAGATTAAATGTTAGCAAATACCACCAAAGGAAAATAGGTCATCGCTATTATTTTGGATGTGAACTTTTTGAATGAGTTTCTTGTTATCTCAAAAATATCTGGTCCATTAATCAGATGTCTCTGTATGTCATATTCAGATGAGAACCCCTCATTACAATATTTATATGATGGTATATATAGAGCATGAAAGACAATAAAGGCTATCTTCAGAAATGTGAAAAGATTATATAAGATATATACAACAATCATTAAGAAAAGATATGATTCCCAACTTAGGGAAGGTATCCACTTTGCTACATATTTTTTGAATCCTGATTTTCAGCTTGATAAAGAAAATTGTTGTCATAAGCCAAAAATCATGCAAGGTCTTGTTAAGTTAATTGGGAATAAAGTCATTTGTCCTAAGCTTAAATTTGCAATGAATGAGATTAGACTTTTTTGGGATGCCTTGGAAAGTTTTGGTAAGCCGATTGCTCTCACATTGACAAAACAAATATAACCAGGTAATTTTTTTTAATGTCAATATATAATAATATTTTAAATTTATAAAAATGATCATTCATTAAGATCTCTCACTTGATATTTTGTAGATGAGTAGATAAAGATGTTTGGATCAAGTTCTCTAAACTTGCAAAAGTTAGCAATAAAAATTCTAAGTCAAACATCCTCCTCTTTTGGTTCTTAAATAAATTGGAGTGTCTTCGAGCAAATTCACTTACAGAGGTGCAATCTTTTGGAGCATCAATGGCTCTATGATTTTTTTTTTTAAAGTGCACAATTGCATTAAAGTAGGAAAAAACAAATGGCTCAATAATTAAGTATATGTTTGATACAATAACAATTTGAAGAATAGGTATACTTTTCAAGTATATTAATATAGAATACTATTTTTTGCATCATTTAACCATGCACTAATTAAAACATTTCCTTCACTTTTAAGATTTCTACACATATGTTAAGTTGGTTAATTTTTTAATATATGAGGATGAGCCTACTCCAGAGATAGTATTAGAAGATTTAGAAAATAAGCTCTTTGCAGTGGATACAACTCCACCTACTAAAGAATAAAACGTACATTTGACTCAACAAAGATATAGTAAGTTGATAATTAAAAACCCTAAATTTTTTTGGATAAATTTAATATTGAAGCCTTATTTTATATTTCTTGTTTGTTAATAAATGTGATATTGATATTGAAGAGGATGGAGATGATATATAATAGAGATTGATAATATTGAGACATTTGGAATAGAAGATTTGGGAGATGCAGGACTAGGAGGTCAACCTTTGGGGTTAGTTTTTATGATACAAATTTACCTGATTTTTTATTTGCCTCTTGTAACACTATTTGAACAATTAAACTAAAAACTTTTGATGATACATTTATCTTGCTTTCTTTTATTGTATGGATGAGATAGATTCATCCAATTTCGGATTGGTTTGATTAAGATGCTTAAATGCATGTGTTACTTTGGTGATGAGTATTTTCTGAGTATCGTACATTTTTTTAAATATCCTCCACTTTTATTGTATGGACAACTATTTCTTATATCATGTTTCAATATCAATTTCATGATAAACTTTTCGTTTTTGCTGGATGATCTTTTGGATAGAGAAGAATTAAAAAAATTATGAATGTTCAAGATAAAGAGGTTAGTAGCTTACAAAATGAATTTATTTACTTTTTAAAGTACTGCATTTATTTATTTTATATGTTAAATTTTATATTATGAATTATAATTTTGTTAAATTTTTTATTATATTTAGCTGATTTGACCATCCTACGCTGGAATTGGGAGCCACGGGATGGCCAACCTTCACGTGCAGGAACCTGAAGCCTCAAGGTGTGTCGTTTGATAATGTATTGTTGTTATAGTGTAATTATCCAATCCATAAAAGAAATTTTCCGATCCTTACTTGACAATCAATGACAAGGTTTAATCAGTACAATTTTGATTTTATTCAGAATTTTCATGTTTAATATTTTAGATCATTTAGTTTATTTAATTTTTAGTCAAATTTTTTATATGATTGCATTAATATAAGTAGATTATGTCGTGTTTAAATAAAATTAGTATTTATTATATCATCCAATTAAACCTCAATTTAACCGATTCAATCATAACTCCACCCCAATTGAACCATGAAATGATGAACCTCTCCTTCTTCCTCCAATTATTTATCCTGCCCGATTGATATACCGATAATTATGATTTTTAATTTTAACTCACCGTATATTATATTTGTATATTTGTCTTGAAACTCGCCATTTAAGAAAATTAATCAACTGCCAATGCGCACAAATAGTAGGGGGTCAAAGAGAGGAATAATTATTACGTCCTCCGATCGGACGTAGAGAAACGTCCGGTCGAAGGTCAAATCGCATCAAAAAATAAGAAATACCGAACAAATATGGAACAATACCAAACAAAGAGAGAAACAAAAAAGCATGATTTGACCGGTTCCCACGAGCTTTGGACGCGTAACAAGTGCTGGTTTCCTCTTTCCATTCCGAATTGGATTCGTTATTTCTCCCGCGAACGGCAAAGAGTTGCTGCCTTTCTTAAATGCGGGAAAAAGCGAGGAAGAACCCTAGCGGAATTCAAGATGCGGTCGCCCAACATGGCAATGGATGAGGAATTCCTCCTACGGGCTACACCGCCTACTCAATACCCCGTCGGCGGGCGGCGAAAGCCGACGGCGGGAATCCGGTCGTGGCTGGTGGTTTCAGAATCGAGGCAGCCCTATCTTGAAGAGGCAGGGAAGCATTTAATCATGCGGCGAACGGGGCTTCCGGCACGGGACTTACGTGTTCTCGATCCCCAGCTATCATACCCATCCACCATCCTTGGGAGAGAGCGGGCGATTGTTATCAATCTGGAGCACATTAAGGCTGTGATTACTGCAATGGAGGTGCTCGTTCCCAACTGCAAGGATCCCTTGGTGGCTCCATTTTTGCAGGACCTGCAAACGAAGGTTGCATGTTCATTCGGTGTTCCAATGCACTCGGTTGGTCCGCTTCTTCACCCCTTTTCGCCACTCTTTGTTCTTGTTTTATCTTGTAGATGTGAATGATTACTGTCAGTTTGACAGTTTTTAGGGTTTTTGGATGGGGTGATCTTAATGCGACGCCTGACTTATTTTATGCCTTATTATACTATATGCTTTACTGGTTCTTTTTGAGGATGTTGGCTTTAGAGGTTGATGCCATAGTGATGAAAAGTTAGAAAACTTTGCTTACCCATGGGCTGTTTGGTTGACTTTTATTTGAGGTTGGCTAGAGTTTGGCATGTTTATCATTCAAAAATGAATTTTCTTTTGGGTTAAATCAAACTTAAATCGAAATCAACCAAGTGACTGATGAGTCGGACCAGCTCTTTTTTATTTAGTCAAGCTTGGATTGAATAGAGCTTTGTGAAGATCGGATAGAAATAAATGGGCATATGCTGGAATGGATTTTTACGTGTATGAATATATGGTTTTATCTTTATATGAGTTCTTGTGTTCTTATGCTTGTTTATGTTTATGCATCTATGCATGCATATATCTTGGACTAAAATTTGTCCTTAGAAGTTTAGAAGTTTATCAAAATATAATTTGTTTCTGACGTGATATATATTAAATAATGAATAAGGATTGGCTTGAATTTTGCTAGATCCAAAATTTTGTGGTCTAAGAGGAAGCTATATTAAGTTTAGCTGCAAGGTTACTTTGTGGTTGGTATAGATCATGAAGGGAAAAGAGAAGAGAGAAGAGTGGAGGAGAGTAAAAAAATCATACATGATCGAAAATTCTTCTTATATTTATACGATAAAGTTTGTTATACTTGGAGCTCTTGGCGTTGATGTTAATTAGTTTCCTCCTATTGGGCTCTTCAATATGGCTTAGGATTTATCACTACAAGTTAGTGACCTTTGTTTGGTGGAAATTTCCATCGAAAAAAGCCCAAAATCTGCCAAAAATTTTATTTTTACATGTATTTCCGATGGAGATTAAGTTGCTGGAAAAATGCACTCATGAAATACTGTCAATAATAAGTATTTCTGTTAGAAAAAAATTCTTCTGGCTTTTAGAAGAATAAACCCTGGGAAATACTGGCAGAAAGGCAAAGTATTGTAAATAATTTAACATTGTTCTTTTTTGCAAATTGTACAAGTAGAAATTGTGATGAATGCAGTCCACCCGAACTTCCGATGCTTATCTGACGAAAATTACTGCCAAAATTTTCTACCATAATAGAGGACCATGAGGCTAGGGTTTCCTTCACAAATAATATATGTAAACATGATAAAATGATGAATAACAATTGTCATATGGCACAAATTGGGATTAAGACAATAAGACATACCCCCATCATGAAAGTTACTCAAATATTGTTTATTCTGTAAAATTGACTATATTGAAGTGTTTGAAGAAGCAAAATTATCAAAATAGGACCCTCACGTTTGATTTTATTAAGCCCGATGAACATAACATGCAATAAACATGGTATTTTGCAAGTGTAGTTGTAAATGCATTGCAAATATCAAAGTTTCTTGGTAGTCACTCTTTTCGCAAAATAGGTTGTGTTGATGCTTCTAGAATGTCAAAAATGTTTGGTTAGGATACCCATATTACTTGAGTCATTACACTAGAAAATTTTGAAAAACAATTACTCTCATGTGAAACGATAAGAAACACGAACAATGAAAAATGTGTGAGAAAGAATTCATACACAAAAAAATTAATATATATACTAGGTTAAACTACTGAAGGGTTCTAAAATATGTTTGGGATAATGTAAAAGCCTTGGTAAAGGTTGAATTTAGTGCTGTTCAATTCCCATGCGAAGAAAGTAGGATATGTTAAGGGTTTGTGGAATCTAGCATAATTTTTCTACCTGGACTTTACACTTTTAGTGTTTCAAAATTTAGGAACTTAGCCATAGAAGCTATGGAAGTGAAAGACTTGAGTGTTTAGATCAATTATGAAAAGTTTCATAATTTTTCAAGGAGTTTAGATAGGTTAAAAGGGGTATCTAACCAAAGTAGGTTAGATTGAAACCAGCTTTGGTTGGGAACCATTATTGGCTTTTTGACTAAAGTTGATTGTCATGGGGCTGTGAGGGGATAGGTGTATAATAATACCACAACAAAGGGTTGAAATGATTTAAGGACATATAGTACTTACCACGCACTAAAATAATATGGGTTAAATGAATCACCAAATTCCCTCAAGAGTGAAGTTAGCCACCAAGCCTCCACTTCTTGAAAAAAACTCCAACTTATATATATATATATATATTCTTCATTCCATCATATTTAATTAGGTTTACAAAATCTACATTTGAATTGCACAATGATAGAGAAAATGAGCAAGGTTCGACAACCTAGAGTGTATGGACAAAGTGAGGTAACTACCAAAATAATTAACCTCCTTTTTTTTTTTTTTGTTTTTGCTGCTAACCACGCTTGTGCTCATGATTCTTTGAACTATTTAATTCAAAATAAAACATTTGAGCTTAAAAAAAATTCACATTCTCCCAAGGCTTGAAAGTTGAAAATTTACATTTTCAAAATTTTGAATTAGTTTATAATTGCTAAAATAAAAATTACAATCATAAAATTTATTACATACATAAACTAGAAATTATAATGAAAATTTTCCATTTTTCTCCTCATTAGTCCTTGAATCTTGTCAGCTTCGTTCTTGCACAATCTTCAACAGGCAATTGGTATAAGTCACAAGGTCCTCTATTGTGTTTATGTAGTTCACTACATGCATGTTCCCTTGCTTTAATGTTATCAAATGTTCACGCAATTTCTTCTCATACTTTTTTGGATAGTATTTAGCCTTTAGTATTTCCTTTATCTCTACTAATGTTAGGAATGTTATACTCTATCGTTCCCATTTTGCTAATATATTATTTACTAAAATTTTGCATAGCTTACTAATTTCATTTTAGCAAAAGCGACTCTTTGATAGTCATATATTTTGTTCCAACCAAAGAATTCATCTATTTGGTCGAGCTAGTCTAGAAATTTATTGGGAGCATAAACACTATGTTGATGCTTATGACCTAACCTCCTTTGTGGTTTCATCCACATAGTCATTGTGCCAAGGATGCTCATTCCTGTTATGATTTCTAAAGTGATTTCCCTTAGGTAGATGGTCATTCCTAATATTTTCTACAATTCCGTTCTTACATGATTAGTTTCAGCTTGGGTCTGGGCAAATGGTTGGTCTTGCTTCCTTATGGTCATAGCTTGTATTTGGATGGTTAAGTTTATATTCATCTCTTATAATTTATAAAAGGTTTCCTCACTATATAAGGTAACCTCTTCTACCCTTCTTGACAAAATTTTCAAGTGATTCATGCTAGTAGATTCTAGTGGTATATGTTATGTAGTGTGAGTGTAATGTTGATGCAATATGTAAGAAATTTTTCGCTGACTTTTTACTAAATTATGCGATGAATGCTTAATGTAAAATTTTGAAAATATTTTTAAAGTGAAGTATTAAAATTTTTAGAACTTTCACTCTAATGTAAGGAGCAAGTAAAATTGCTTAACATTAAATTGATTGCAAAAAATTGTAATAAAACCTTAGTTTACAAAGTATGGATCTAATACTAATTGAAACCTAGGTAAAAACTAATTTTGCAAGTGGATTACTCCATGTCTCATGTGATTTCACTCTAACAACTTAAAGTTAAGATAACTTTAAAGAATGATTGATTGTCACATGAATGTAGAGATAACTAGTTAATACATATACACTAGTTCATAGAGTTGGCTCAAACATGCGATTTGCCCCAAATCTTTGTCATAGAAAATTTATTTCCATTAAAAAGTAAATAAATTTCAAAATTAGAGAAATGTCCTTTGTATAAATTTTGATTCACCAGTTGCAAGTGATTTTTCAAGCATCCAATTCCATTGGTACAGAAGTCTCCAATGTATCTCCTCCAACCTAAGTTCTAGTACCAACATTGATATGGCTTAGGTTTAGCTCACTGAAGAGCTACTGATTTGGGCTTAGAATGCTCTAAAATATATTAGGAATGATGTATAAGACTTGAGAAAGGTTGCATATGTGTGGTGTACAATTTTTATGCAAAGGAAGAAGGATATGTAAGGGTGTATGGAATTTGGTTGAATTTTCCAAATTGGATGTTAAGCTTTTAGGATTTTAAAATGTGGGAATGTCAGGACTTGAACACTCTTGGAAAAAGAAAATGAGGATGTCTGAATCATTTCTAAAAAAATTTATAATTTTGAAAGGACTTTATGTGATAGAAATGTACCCCTCAAACTTAAGGGAAAATTCTATAAGATGGTAGTGAGGCCTGCAATAGAAATGGAGGAATGCATCGGGCTTGTTATGTGATAGAAATGTACCCCTCAAACTTAAGGGAAAATTCTATAAGATGGTAGTGAGGCCTGCAATGCTTTATGGTGCCGAATGTTGGCCTTTAAAAGAGAAGCATAATACTAAGTTAAGTGTGGCAGAGATGAGGATGCTCAGGTGGATGAGTGGCTTTACCCTTAGAGATAGGATACGAAATGAGCATATACGTGAAAAGGTTGGAGTAGCTCCAGTAGAAGATAAGATTAGAGAAAGTCGCCTTAGATGGTTTGGTCACATAAAACGGCGGCCTTGCGATGACCCGATTAGGAGAGTAGAGGTATTAGATTTGACTTATGTTAAGAAAGGTAGGGGTAGACCTAAAAAGAATTGGTTAGAAAATATTAGGAATGACCTTTCTTTATTAGATTTAAACGAGAATTTGACTTTTAATAGGACACAATGGAGAAAAAGGATTCATGTAGCCGACCCCACGTAGTGGGATAAAGGCTTGATGTTGTTGTTGTTGTTGTAAGGACTTTATATGGTTTAAAATGGGTCTATATCCAAACAAGTTCATATTGTACAAAGCTTTGCCCAAGAGCACTTAATGGCTTTTTAGTGATTAGCGGACGGGAAATTACTATGAGAGCGTGAGGGGATAAGCATGAAATAATTCTACA